CCCCTGCTCCCGCCATATCTACCTCTCCCACACACAGTACCGATGGTAGAAACACAATCTGGACCAGCTCGACCCCCTCCGGATTCCCCGCCACCCCCGCCGGACGTCCTTGCCAAGCCCGACTCTCCCCCTAGTGGGTTATCCCCCAAACCCACAACCCTAATTTCAATCCCACCCCCCTCCCCCCTCCCCAAACCCCTTAAAAGTTTAGACAAGGACAATTTTAAAAAACCCCGCAGCCCCCTCTTTGCGGCATGCCACCTCTCGGGACTCCAGAGCCCGTCATCGAGGTAGGCCCTCGATAGAATGGAGGGCCAAGCCTGCGAGAGGGGGGAGTCTCGCAGACCAAGAAGCTCCGCTGCTGAGTACATTGATCATCATACTGGGTAATAAGACCATATCCTGAGGGTATATATAAAGGACTGGGGAGAAGACAGAGGAATGGGGAGTCTCAGAGACATGTTTACAGGACCAAGTCCCTTGTCCCCTCACAACAGAGGCCATGGTCCAAGCCAAGACGACCACAGTTCCAAGGGGGAAAAATAGTTCCAACCACCCTCTCACGGTGGTTAGGTCAGCTGGACAGTCCCCTCATGTGGTGAGATGGTAGCAATGAACCGATGCATAAAGACAGCGTCCAGGGGTCAGGTCCAAAATCGCCCTCTCACGGCGGTTTGTCCGGAGGTAAAGTCTCCTCGCTGGTAAAATCCCCTCGCTGATAAAGTGCATTCATGTAAAAGCCTCCCGGTTCAGCCCTCAGGGGCTCTAGTACCTGGCCACCCTCTCACGGTGGCCAGGCAAATGTCCAGCCCCCTCAGCTGACGGGATGCAGTCTTGTACCGGTCTCCCATTCAGATGGAAATAGCCCTCTCCAGAGTCAGGGGGTTCAGAATAGTAACAATAATAGGGCATCGCGCCAATGGGTCACACAGGCTGATAGTTGGTCCGGTGGGCCCAGGTTTAACGAGGAACGCTGGGGAAGAGAGAAATGGGGCAGAAATGGGGCAGTTTTCCCCAGCCCCCCCATACAACCACAAATTGAGGCTTCCCAAGGCCCAGCAAATCGCTCCGGGTCTTTTCCGCCCCGACCATTGTTGCAGGTCTCCCAGGCCTGTTGGATTGTTGGTTTGTTGCCCCCCCCCGCTCCTATTCCGAGGGGGGGGTCCCCAGCGCCGTCTGACCGCCAGCTAGCCTTCACAGCAACCGCCATCGCTGCCGCCACCGCGCCATCGTCGCCAGCCCCCGAAAGAGCCTGGCGACGTCCCAGAGGTCTTCGGGGGGTGCCCGACACATCTTACAACCCTTCGGGCAACCCCCCCGGGCTTAGAAGCTTGCCGCGCGGCGGCATCCCCGGCACAGCACCGCTCCCTCTGATTGATGGCCGCCGGCTGTGAAAAAACGCCGCCGACGCTGCCGACGCCCAGCTGATCAGCCCGGCGCTCCATGCATCGCCCCTTCCTCTCTACCCAGTCACGGAGGGAAAGAAAACCCTCTCCGTGCTGGCGAGGAGCTTCCCTGACTGGTCCTGGGGTCTAAGATCTTCAGCATGACCCCCAAAAGACCCAAAGGGTAGGTCGGCGCCCCATCATCAGATCGTAGTTCCAGCGGGCGCCGCCATCTTGGACATGCGCAGAAGCATATATTAAGAAATGCTTTGTTGAGGGTTTGGAAAAAATATCAATATAAGTTAAATTATAAAATACCTGTATGGGCAAATCCTAGACATGCAATAGAAAATATAAGTATAGAACAAAAACAGGAGGTGATTACCTATAAAGAGCTTCTTATTATGGAAAGGGGGGTAATGTATCTGAAATCTTTAGATAGATACACTGAGAGAAGAAGGTATAATTTATACATGGTTCCAGTACAGTCAACTTCAAGCTAGATGGAAGGAAGATCAAAAAACTGGCTTTGTGCAAAATGAGGAGAATTTGGTAAAACAAATTAGAGATCAAAAACAAATGCATATTAAAAGGTTGTATAATGCTTTATTGGAAATAGATTCTGAGACCGAATTGGTTAAAGACTGTATGATTAAATGGGCACAAAATTTTCAAGAGCTAGTAATGATGGAGACTTGGGAAAAGATTTGGATTAGAAATGTGAAATTTACACAAGCACAAAATTTAAGAGAAATTTTTTATAAAATGTTTTATAGATGGCACTTAGATCCCAAAAAATTATCATGTATGTATCCTAATGTGCAAGCTAAATGTTGGAGATGTGACTGTGATGATGCAACTTATTATCATATATGGTGGACTTGTAGAAAAATCAAAGCATTTTGGATAAAGATTTGGTGGGTGATGCAGAATATTCTTAAAAAGAGACTGAAATTTACTCCACAGTTGTTCTTACTGGGTATAACTACGGACTGTACAGTTGCAGAGACTAAACTGATTTTGAACTTGATAACAGCAGCAAGATTGTTGGTAGCACAACACTGGAAGAAGGACTTTTTGCCTACTATTGATGATTGGATATTGAAAGTAACTAATTTAGCTGAAATGGCTAAAATTTCAGCATATCTGAAGGATCACACACAAGAAAGGTATATACAGGACTGGAGAAGATGGATTGATTATATACAAAATAAGTATCAGACCAAAAAATATCAAATAGCTTATGAATGATCTCTTTTATTTGTATAAGCGCTATATAAGTGATATTAGAAGTATTATGTTTAAGAAATAGGATTTTATATATGGGGGGTTAAGATTTTTTTTTTTAGGGGGTGTTAGTTTAATGATTGGTTATGCAATTTAGTTTATTGTTAAAGGTCAATAGAAATACCTTGTGTTCTGCTCTGGGAAGTCGGGGAGGGGGAGGGGGGGTTGGGAGGGAGGGTTGTGGGGAAATTGTGTTTGTTTTAAAACTTTTTCAATAAAAAAAAAAAAACTGGCTACATAGCAAAATTCAAAAGTCGCTACAAAACTGTCTGCCGACAGATAAAGGCAGAATGCATCAGTTATCACAGCAAACAAGAGGAAAACCTAATACGCACTAAATCCACCCAGGCCTTCTACAATTTTGTAAACAACAAATTTAAAGACTCAAGATCCATCCCACCACTAAAAGGACCAAACGGGAAATACTGTAATGATGAAACCATTAAGGCCAACCTCTTCAACACATTCTTCAGTTCAGTCTTTGTAAATAGCAATGGCTCATGCCCCTCATTTCCCAATCGTACCACAACGTCTTGATCTTGTTCTCCTTCCATTTTCTTGCTTATTTTAATTTTAATTTTTAGTCTGTCTTTTACAGTTAGGTTTTTGGTACATTGGGCTATACTAGTTTTTTTTTTGCAAATAATGACTTTCTTTAGTGGACTGACTTTTCCTTAACTTTTCCCTTGTTTATTTATTTATTTATTTATTTATTTAATTTGTATACCGCCCTACTCCCGAAGGACTCAGGGCGGTGAACAGCCAAGCAATAAGATACATAAATACAAAAATTTAAAAAACCAGTTAAAATCGAATTAAATCATTTTTTGGCCCAGACAAATTAAAACACCCCAATAATTTAAGAACAGATTTAAAATTTATGTATTAAAAGAGGGAGGAGATTAGGCCAAGCCTGCTTGATGGAATAAAAGAGTCTTCACAGCGCGGCGGAAGGTGCGCAGATCCGGGATCCTCCGTATCTCTGGGGGGAGCTCATTCCAGACGGTAGGTGCCCCCACAGAGAAGGCTCTCCCCCTAGGGGTCGCCAGCCGACATTGTTTGGCTGACGGCACCCGGAGGAGTCCCTCTCTATGAGAGCGTACTGGCCGGTGGGAGGCTATTGGTGGTAGTAGGCGGTCCCGTAAATAACCAGGTCCTAAGCCATGGAGCGCTTTAAAGGTGGTAACCAAAACCTTGAAGCGCACCCGGAAGACCACCGGGAGCCAGTGCAGCTCGCGCAGGAGAGGTGTCACATGGGAGCGCCATGACGCTCCCATTACCACCCGCGCGGCCGCACTCTGCGCCAGTTGGAGCCTCCGGATGCTCCTCAAGGGGAGCCCCATGTAGAGAGCATTACAATAGTCCAGGCGGGAGGTGACGAGGGCATGAGTGACTGTGCGTAACGAGTCCCGATCCAGAAAGGGACGCAACTGACGAATCAGGCGAACCTGATAAAAAATCCTCCCGGTCACGGCCGTCAAGTGCTCTTCTAAAGACAGCCGTGAATCCAGGAGGACGCCCAAGTTGCGAGCCCTCTCCGTGGGGGCCAGTGATTCACCCCCAATAGTCAGAGATGGCGTCAACTGACTATACCGGGACGTCGGAAACCACAGCCACTCGGTCTTGGATGGGTTGAGCCTGAGCCTGTTCCTCCCCATCCAGATCCGTACGGCCTCCAGGCACCGGGACATCACTTCAAGGGCATCGTTGGGGTGATCCGGGGTGGAGATGTACAGCTGGGTGTCATCAGCGTACTGATGGTACTCCACCCCGAAACCACGGATGATCTCGCCCAGCGGCTTCACATAAATGTTGAACAGGAGAGGCGAGAGGACCGACCCTTGCGGCACCCCACATATGAGGGGCCTCGGGGTCGACCTCTGTCCCCCTGTCAACACAGACTGCGACCGGTCAGAGAGAAAGGAGGAGAACCACCGTAACACAGTGCCTCCCACTCCTAACTCTTCCAACCGGTGCAGCATGATACCATGGTCGATGGTATCAAAAGCCGCTGAGAGATCTAACAGGACCAGGACAGAGGAGCACCCCCTGTCCCGAGCCCTCCAGAGATCATCAACCAACGCGACCAATGCCATTTCCGTGCTGTACCCGGGCCTGAAACCCGACTGGAACGGATCCAGATATGTTGTTTCATCCAGGTGCTGGGGGAGCTGTTTCGCGACCACACTCTCAACAACCTTCGCCACAAAACGAAGGTTGGAAACCGGACGATAATTTACCAACATTGCCGGGTCCAGGGATGGCTTCTTGAGGAGAGGCCTCACCACCGCCTCTTTCAAGGTGGCAGGAAAGACACCCTCACCCAACGAAGCATTTATAATCCCCTGGAACCAGCCTCGTGTCACCTCCCGAGAAGCCAGCACTAACCAGGAGGGACACGGGTCCAATAAACAAGTGGTCACGTTCAGTCTACCCAGAATCCTGTCCACATCCTCAGGGGTCACAGGATCAAACTCATCCCAGATAACATTCTCAAGACCTGCCCCTGTCCCTCCTCCTGAGACTACCCAGTCGGAGTCCAGATCTTCCCGAATCTGAGTGATTTTGTCATACAGATATTGAACAAAATCCTCGGCTCTACCCTCCAAGGGGTCCTCCCGCGCTTCCTGGTGGAGCAGGGAGCGGGTCACCCTGAACAGGGCGGCCGGGCGATTATCTGATGACGCAATAAGAGCAGCAAAATAGCTACATTATGTTGTTATGTTGAAAGAAACATTTTTATATTATCTTTGACTTTTGTTGCAAGTCTTTGTTCAGGACTTTTGAAGTGTGTTTGTATTATATTGAATTCCCGTATGACATGGTCACTCTTGCCCAAGGTTCAGCTCCAGAGGGATTTCAGTGGAGTGGGCTAGGGTAGATAGTGAGGGCTTTGCTCTTTTCTTCTAAAAGTGACATGTTTCAATTCAATTCTTTAGGGATGTATGTAAGGGCATTTTTATGGAAGCTTTTTGTTCCCTATTGTGTTCAATATGGGTGTATCTGTTTTCTTCTTTATGTTCATATATGGGGTCATTTTTTAAAGAAGCTGTTTGCTCCCTATTTTATTTTGGTGTAGTCTTCTTGTTTAGGTTGGGATTTCTCACTTCATTCATTGAGTTTCAGAGTAGCTAGAGTTGCCTATAAACCCTTTACTTTTTTTTCTAGTTATTCAAGTAGTTTACATACATACATAAGCTGAAACATATGGCACACTTTGCAAGTCACTATAGTGTCCGTCTCTATTTCCATGACTTTTTTCTTTGTTAAAAAAATCAAAATGTCTAAAAACTAAATATTTTTCCTGTTGCAGTGTCAGTTTACAGTTTACAAGAGTTCTTGGCCTTTTGTTCTCTGTCTTGAAAAATTCATCTCTCTCTTCCCTGTTTTGAAGTGTCTGTCTCTTTTTCTGTGGTTTTTCCCACAGTCACTTGTCTGAAATGGTTTCTTGCTTGAGCAGGGGATTGGGCTAGAAGGCCTCCAGGAATCCCTTCCAACTCAATTCATTGATTTTGTTGTTCTGCTACTTTATCAAAGAAGGATAAAGGTTTGCCTGGTGTGATCTGCTTTGGACAAACCCATTTTAGCTTCTGGTAATTGCTTTGCTTGTTTCTTGGTATTTGCAAATCTTTTTGCTTGATTATCTTTTCCAGAATCTTCCCAGTTATTGATGTCAAGCTGATTAGGCTGTAGTTTCCTGTATCCATTTTTTCCCTTTTTGGAAGATAGGAACCACATCAGCTCTTTTCCAGTCCTCTGGTAGTTCCCTGGTGCTCCAGATGGCTGCTTGGCTGTTTGGCAACCAAAGGAATATGGTTGACTTATCTTCAGCTGGGCTCCTGAAATATGCCCTGTCAGGCCCCAAACCTGAATGCTGAAGTAAAAGTTACCTTTCCCTGCTCTAAGTGGAGATTTGATAAAAATTACTTAATGGAAACTTAGGCAACACTGCACAGCTATAGTTTAGAAAGAAGAAAAACCCAGGAATTGAGTCAAAAGCCAAATGTTTCAGCCCTCTTGCTGAAAACCATTGTACACAATATGTTTTGAGTGAATTGGACTTGGACAGGGAGCATCTTGGAATTGAATTACTGTCTCTTTTTTTTACATTTTTATTCTACATATTCCAAGTTGCTCAGAAATAAACATACCCTTGGGTATTTTATTTGTTTAGGTCATAAAGCAGAAAGAAAGATAGAAGGAATGGAAGGAAATAATTCCAAACAGTAACTCTTAAGCAGCCATTTTTACACATTAATTAGCTTGGTTTAATTGATTGACTTGAGATTTGAGCAGAGCCATGAGTTGCTTTTCCAACCAGTGAAAAACAATAAAGAAAACTATGTGCAGGAAAAGCATTTGAGTTTGAACAGAAATGAAGCCAGCAAGCAGTGGCAACATGATAACATGTTGGGAGGGATCAATAGGTCACCTCAATGCCATGAAGGATGGGGGCTACAAGATGACTCTCTGTATTTGTAGGTGGCCATTGTGTTCAGATTAAAAATGAAGAGTGACACTTCCGGGGGGGGGGAAGCACCTGTGCCTTCCCAGGAGCCAAAACTGCTGCATCACAAGAGAGGGGAAAAGTTCGTCTTGGCAGCAGAGCCCTTTGTGATCCCCATACCCTTTAAAATCAGGTATTCCTCCCAGAGGTTCTTCCTCGGCAGATGCAACTCAGAAACTGGAGTAGACCGAATGGTCCTCACTGAAATTTTTCCTGAGAACATCAAGTTTCTTTCCCAAAGACGATCTGTTGAATTCCTCTGTGATCTCTACTGCAGATTTGCCTTTTGTCTCCGGAAGGAATAAGTAGAAGAATATCCCAGAGCCAGAGAGCACGGTGGCAAAGAGAAGGAAGCAAAAGGGGCCCAGACTTTCCTGAAATGGACACAATAAACAGTAACAGTCTCATTAGTGTCTGAACAAATCCCCTCTTTTATCTCCATCATTCCCAAAGTTCAAGCTGGAATTGCGGTCTAGTGGTGAAGAAACAAAAACTGCACTAGAGAAAGCTACAAGCATCTCTGGGTCATTAAAAGAGAGGATGGAGAAAAGGGAGCATCAGATGAAACTGATTTTGATTTTTTGACTTTGTTAAGTGTGATGCTGACAGCTTTATGGCTTAATGTGAATGCTGAAAATGAGTAAACCCAGTAATCAGGTTAAGGATGGTGCACTTCTAAGTTGCTCTGGGTGGTGCTTGGACAGTTCAGCTGGTTAAAGCTTATTTATTATCTGCATGTTGCATCTTTGCTTCAACTTCTCTGTCTTCGTTTATCACATGCATTTTGTTTCTGAGTACAATTGAAGTCCCTACAACTGGGAAGAGTTTATCAGAAATATTTCATTTTTCCCTGTAAATCTTCATAATGTCAAGGAATTGTTTTGTGCCACCAACCACAGAAGCTAATTTGGCAGAAATTCAAGGAAACCATCTCTAAACACTCCCATTGGACTTATTGCTACTTCATCTGCGGTATGCAGAAACTTTTTAAAGGCAGAGCTTTGACATTCAGGCTCATTTGTGATTGTGTCATCAGTTACTTTATTTGATCTCTTGAACTGATGCCTCCATTATTATTTGTTTCATGGCTTTTAACTGGACAAAACAGTGCATTGTAAGGCAACAATTTTAGAGTCAAGGTACCTCAGATAGGCTAACATACACAATATGTCCAAAATCTGGAACTCAAAACTCCCAAAGAAATTAAATTTGGGAAAGTTGTGGATTCTTTAGTGCTATTGGCTCTGGGCCATTGCTGCAGTCATGTGATCTTCATTTTTAGTATTCTGTGACAGTTTCCCAGCAAGTCTCACAATCCCTTGCTTCATCATCCACCTAGCAGAAGCTCCTTGCTTGTCTGCTGGAAAGTGAAGGTGGGGTGGGGGAAGGAAAGAAAGAAAGAAGGGAGGGAGGGAGGGAGGAGGAAGGAACAGGGTGGAAAGAATCTTTTCTAGTCCATGCAGTTACCCTGCACACTCCCCCAATTCTGTGTACCTTCCCCGAACTGCATGGCACCTCTTACATAGTCATCCAACTCCAGGCACTCTTCTCTTCAGTTTTTTTCCCTACCGGTTCTGGGGGCGAGGCTTGGTAGGCGTGGCTTGGTGCAGGGGTCATGTGACTGAGTGGGCATGGCCAACTCAACATCACTCATGGCAAGGTGGGATGGCACCACCCCACACTAATCCACGTCCACAAGCCACACCCACAGAACCAATAGAAAAGTTTGGCCACGTCTTCTAGCATTCAACCTGGCTCCTTCTTATGTTTGCTCTGTGTGTATGAGGCCGAGAAGGAGGAGAGAAGCAGCCACGTTGAATGCTGCAGCAGAGAAGCCAAACTTTTCTGCCTCCCTTCACAGCGGAGCTGCTCAGAAGGCAGCTCCTGCAGCTTGTTCCCACACCATGGCGACCGTAATGGAAGGTAGGTGAGTGAGGCGGAGGGCGAGAGGGCGGCAGCTCCGGGGCAAGACCGGAGCCGGGGAATGGCACATTCCCCAATCCAGCTGAGGCAGACGAGCGGGCGGACAGAGGCTCTGGGGCCTCAGGGAATGGTGCATCCCTGGGCCCTGGCCCCTGACCCAAGACGAAGGGTGAGTGGGTGGCATGCTTACCTTTGGTGAGCTGAGCATAGCTGAGGCAGGTGCGGAGGTGACTGGCAATGCGATTAGCTGGGCTACGTGGCGAAGGCAACATATATTGGGCGGGGTGAGCGGTGAGTGGGTGGGTGGGGCCAATCAGAGGTGGTATTTACTGGTTCGGTGAACCAGTTAAAATTGCTGCTACTGGTTTACCCGAACCGGTCCGAACCTGCTGAATACCATCTCTGATGCCCTTAATGTAATGTGACGCATTACACAGCTCTGTGACCCCCACACATCCTACTTGATCTATGCATGTTATTCAACTCATGCAATACCTCTCACACCTCTATGTGACCTGTGTGCACCTTTCTTGGCCCGCACTGCATGCTCTATATGACCCACATGGGATGCCCCATGCACCCTTCCTGCCCTGCATAGCCCGTCTCATGCATCCTCACTCCTGACCTGGAGATGTACTCCAGTGAATCCCCTGATTCATTCACCATGTGGCAGTAGCCACTTACCTGCCTGCTGACCTGCAACTTCCTACAGGCTTCCCCACTGGCTTTTTCCCTGCAAGTTTACCATAGCAAAGTCAATGGGGAAACCAGCATGAATGGGAGGGGGGAAAGGAGGAAGGATGATTTCTGATGCTCCGAGCCAGTTTCCCATAAAAAAAGTCAATGGGGAAGCTGGCAGGAAGCCTGAAGCTGCTCCAGCTCCCCTTGCTTTTTTGCCTACCCATAGTTGTGCTGTTTCTTTCCTTAGGTAGGAAAATCTCTGAAACGATGACCCAATGGGGCATGAGTTATCTAGTTGACATTTAAAAATATACAGAACATGGAATAAAATAGTTGGAAGTGACCTTGGAGGTCTTTGAGTCCAATCCCCAGCTTGAGCAGGAAACCATATACATTCTGGACAAATGGTTGTCCAATCTCTTCTTAAAAACTTCCAGTGTTGGAGTACCCACAGCTTGTGGAGGCAAGTCATTCCACTAGTTATAATATTCTCACTGTTAAGAAATTTAATTAGTTCTAAGTTGAATCACTAATGATTTTCCACCCATTACTTCTGGTTCTGTCCTCAGATTCTTTGGATTGCCCCCCCTGCTCTCTGTGAGAGCCCCTCAAGAACTGGAAGACTGATATATTACCCCTAGTCCTTCTCTTCATTAGACTGGACATACCCAGTTCCTTCAGTCATTCGTCATACCATTTAGCTTCCAGCTAAATAACAATTATTATTGTTTTGTATTGTTGGCATTATTGCTATTTCTAGCAGCTTCAGACACATTTAGTGATTGCCCTGGACTGGCTGAACAACCAAGATGGGTCTCTATGTGGTCCATCTCCCTACCTGCAGCCCAATCCAGTGCCTGAAGATTGCTGCTGTGTGGAGGCCACTCAGGGGACGGAAATGGAGGGCTGGGAAAAACTCACCTCAGCAAAGGGAAAGGCGATTCCGACAATGAAGAGGCCTGCCCAGCTTAGACAACCACCGATCGTGAACGCTGCTGGCCTGGAGGACTGGCTGAAAATTTCCATCATAATAGAGAATGTGGCTCCATCTAAGAGGGACAACGTAGAAAAATATGTTCAGACCCAGAGAGACCCTTTTTAACCCAGGATGAGCAAGAATTCATTTATCTGGAGAACCACTAGCAGTGGCATGGCAATCCACAGCCTTCTTTGGATCAATATACAAAAAACACCAACAGTAACATCCAGAAATGAAAAAAAACCCCAATCATCAATAACTCTATCAGTTGCTAATTTTCATTTGGTTCAGTTCAATTTAATGGAGTATTGGGAGCAAAGGGGTCCATTATAGTCCAATGGCAGTCAAATCTTAATTGGGGTAATCTGCAAAATTAACTTTTACATCATTTATATCAACGTCATTTCCATAATTGATAATCTTACCTTATTTGCATCCATTTATGTCATTTTCTGCAATTGATGCAGATGACATTAAAAGTCTCTCAGCCCAACCCACTGTCAACTATCTAGTTGGCATTTCCAAAAAATGAAACTCCTGGGACATAATTTTACCAAGAGTATAATATTTTACTGAAAAACTGCATTGGCTTAGAAGAAGCAAAAACAGCTCTGGATTTCCCATGCAAACGCAATCATAGTTATTTAACAGATTTAACAAATTAACAGAGTTCAAAGGGACCTTGTAGGCCCTGCTTGGGCCAATCCCCCCGCCCAAGCAGGAGACCCTACACCATTTCTGCCAAATGGCAGTCCAGTCTCTTCTTGAAAGCCTCCAGTGATGAAGCAACCACAACTTCTGAAAGCAACTGCTCACTATCAGAAAATTTCTCCTTATTTCTAGGTTGAATCTCTCCTTGATCAGTTTCCATCCATTATTCCTTGTCTGGCCTTCGGGTGCTTTGGAAAATAGCTTGACCCACTCCTCTTTATGGCAGCCCCTCAAATATTGGGAGACTGCTGTCATGTCTCCCCTGGTCCTGCAACCGTTCATTGTATGTTTTAATCTCCAGTCCCCTAATCATCCTGGTTGCTCTTCTCTGCACTTTTTCTAAAGTCTCAACATTTCCTCCTTTTCCCTCTGGGCCATAGAGAGTCCAATAGTTTCTGTTCATTTTGTTATGAGAAGCCACAGTCGATGTCCTTGAAAGCTTCCAGAGATGCCTCGATTGCTTCGATATCACCCCCCCCTTTGCATTCCATTCCACCGCCTCCTCCCTTTGTTGTCAAGCTGTGAGAGAAGGAGAAAATGTGGGTGAAAGGGAGAATAAGTCTTGACACCCATCACACAGGGTTGTTGTGGGGAAAATAGGAAGAGGAAGGAGTATTGGGTATGTTTGCCACCTTGAATTATTCATTAAAAAATAATAAAGGGAGGGGCGACTGTGCACATGCCCACAGAAAAGGTTCAGTGTGCCACATCTGGCATGCGTGCCATAGGTTCGCCATCATGGCCCTAGAGGCATTTCAAACATTGCACAATCCCCAGCAGCATCACAGAAATCTATAAAGATCCACCCACTCATTCAGCCAATTTGTCACCTGTCCAAGAACCATATGCTATTGATGGTTCTACTCGTCAATACACTTTCTTTCTTGGATTCGATTGGAAGCATCGTGGCGAGACAGTCAGGGAATAGCGGGCTCCAATGAGCCTTGCGAAATCCCAGGGTGATAAGCCGCTGCCGAGGGGTCTTCGGACCAGATCTGTCCTGTAGGGACAGAGAAGAAGGAGAGGCACCTTGGAAGACCAAGAGGAACAGGCAAGTTCCTCGGTGGTCAGAAGAAACTCTTCAACTCGGCAGCGGGGGCGGCGGCCATTGCAGCCGTCATTAAGCTGGGGCAACCGGACCAAGTATTGAGCAGGAGCGGTGAATTGATTGGACTGATGCTGGGTGAGTGATTGCCAGCTCATAGGCAAAAAAAAAAAAAAAAAAGGAAGATTTTTAAATTTGTTAAAAGTGTCCCAGCGAAATAACAGTGGTTAATGGGCACGGGGCAAAAGTAGGAAGAAGACTAAAGCGGAAGTTCAAAGTGACAAAACCCGAAAAGAAAATTGACTTCTGGATAAAAATTTGTGAACTTTAAAAATTAGAAGAAATAAAAACCTATAATAGGTGTGGAGAGGATTGAAAGGGGAAGAAAAAGATTTCTGTTGAATGCTGAAAAAAAAAACCAAAGAGGAACTTAAAATTAAAGCCCTGTAATAGAAGTCTCTTATTAAAAAAGAGAGGAAAAATGGACTTTGTAATTTGAATTGGACTTTAAATTGATTTCGGGAAATACAAATAACATAGTAACGTGGATTGCAAACAAAATGGATAATTTTTAGGCTGTTGATTGGAATCGTGGATTGTAGAGAGACACCTTCAGGCGAAATAAGATCATTACAATACTGAACTTTTATTTTGGAAAAAAAAACTTTGAACTTTGGAAGTGATAACAGCTGTGGGAATTCTTAAGGAGGGTTTGTTTGTCTGCAAGCAGCTTGGCCTTGATGATAAAAGAAGGCGGATTATAACAAAATTTAAAATTTGAATAACATCAACCCAGAAATAATAAAATGGTGCAGGAACTTATGGAAATGATGGAAATGATGCATATATCATTGAAAACGGAAGTAAGGGAAATAAGTATAATGCTGCATGGAAAACCGGAATCTGATGGAAATTAGTCAGAGTATACTCAAGTGGATAAAGAAACAATGAATGAGAAGCAAAGGGAGACTGAAAATAAAGATGAAGATAAAAATAAAGATATTGACTATGAAAAATCAAATGATCATGTGGGTAGTAATAATGAAAAGGAGAGGAAAATAGGGAGTAAAGTGAAAAACTTAGCAATAGAGGTGAACCTTAAAGATTACATTGGGAAAAATAGAGAAGGTGGAAAGAGACAAGGAGCAAAAAAAGGGCGGAATAGAAAGAAAACAAAAAATTCAAATAATTACACTGGGATTAACAGTGGGAAAATAAGAAAGAGGAAAAAGGGATGGAAAACAATGGGAAATACAGGACAAAAAAGAAGAGTTCAGGATTTTAAAATACAAAGAAAAAGATGGGGGAAGAAAAAGAAGAAAATAAAAAATGGGAGAAAGAAATAAAAGAGGAATATGTTGTATACTTTTAGAAATAAAAAATGAATTGAACTATGATTTATGGATACAATGAATTTTAGAAAATGTTATAATTAAGATTGTGATACTTGGAAGGTATTGAACTGTAACAATGAAATTAATTAAGTATAAAGTAATAGAAAATTACATGGATGTATAAATGAACTGAAATGAATTTTAAAATATGAATAAATTTAATATATGAGATTGTAATAGGTGGAATGTTTTTTATTGTAATTAGGGAAATGGTAGTAATTGGAATATTTTTAATTCCATGTGAAATTAGAAACAAGATATTTTTGACAAAGTAATTGAAAATTGGAGTTAAAATTTAAGAAATTGTATTGTACAAAGTAATTTGGTTTGTTATTTAATAAGAAGAGATCATATATTTGAAAAAATAATAGAAAAGAAATAATTGGAATGTTAACTGAACTTTATTAAGATGTTGGATTGTACTATTTGGAACAAAATAAGATTTAGAAATTTAGAAATAATATTAAGGAATTTGCAGAGTAACCCTTGAGGTTGTGCACCTCACAAGGGTGTACACATGAAAGCGATTGAGAGTAGTTACGAATAAACACAGTCAACACACAGATACACTGAGTTGTGTTTACTTTCAGGAAATAGTAAGGCATAGTCCAATAAACAGTCCAGGTCATACACATATAAAGCAGAAGATAGCAAAACGACAGTCCAGGGATAATCCAAAAACAAAGTCTTCTTACCAGTCGTCGTAGTCATACACAGTAAACAGTTCTTCTGGATTTGCAAACAGTAGCGTACGGAGATATCAGAGAGCATAAACAGCAAAGAGAACAAACCATGTTTCTAGTTCCCTCTTAAGGACATTGGCTACAGAGCTAACCAATCAGGACACAGTATGATGCAATACAGCAGTCTTAAAGCTACATTAATGGTTTATATATTGCTAACCCAACAAGTTAGGTAATAGTCATTTCCTAACAAATATGAATAAGTTTAATATATGAAATTGTAATAGGTGGAATATTTTTTATTGTAATCAGGGAAAATTGGAGTTAAAATTTAAGAAAAATAATAGAAAAGAAATGAATGATTGGAAGGTTATATATTTAACTGAGCTTTATTAAGATGTTGGATTGTATTATTTGATAAAGAAAAATCTTTATGATTATAATAAGGGGATTTAAGGAAATATTGGGATTATTTTATGTTGTGAGATTTTAAATTTAAGGGGTTTAATTTAGAGATGAAAAGGGAAAAATTGAATCTTATTAAGATAGAGATTAGGATGAAGGGTAATATTCGTTTATAAAAACTAGACAGAATAAACACTATGGCAAAAAGTGAATATTGGTGTTATGTCTGGACGGCAAGCACGAGCGGCCAATAGAGCAGCCGATTGGTCCGTGTGCCGGCAGGCAGCCGGCGGGAAATTGGTGGCTCCTGATTGGCCCAGCTTCTGACAGCTGAGTATAAAAGAGCTGTCAGTGCCTCAAAAAGCTGCTCACTCTCCTTGGTAGTTAGCTAACCAGAGCGAATCACTGTTATTGTTAGCCAATAAACATGTTGTGAAGTGTTTATCCTGCCTCGCCTCCCTTCTTTAGCCTTTGTTCCATGAACAGAACAACTGGCGACGAAGGTGGGATTACTCTGAGGCGGCAGGTCGAGCGAAGCCACTACAAGAGCTGAAGCACTGAGCTGAACCACAGCAACGAGACATTGCAAATTCTAAGGTCTGACGCTGTTCTTCAGGAAGATGTCCACCCTATCTACATTCGCCCCTTTCAACCACGCAGTGGAGACCTGGGATTCCTTCTTCGACCGTTTTAACTGTTTCCTGGTCGCAAATGACTATAAAAGTCTGCCAGGGGATAGGAAGTTAGCTGTTTTCCTCAGTGTCTGTGGGCATGATATGTTCGAGACAGCTAGGGCACTATTAGCACCTCAGACAGTCCATAATGTGCCCTG